TTCTGCAAAACTATAATCCTTTCCTTCATGTTCAATAATAAGAAAATATTTATCTAAATTATGACCCATGTATTTGATAGAATAGTATAAAAGCGATTGGTAAAAGATTATGTAGTAAGCTGTTAAAATGTTTATGAAAGTTATATGAAAAAAGAATAAAGTAAGAACGACACAAACATTTCAACTAAATTGCTGGAAGGAAACAGAACAGTGAAAATTAATGGGTGTTAGAGAGGAGAACTCTAAGTTTTCAGAAACTTCCTTTAAATTGTTATAATTGCTGTTTGTGCCTTATATTTAAAACAGAGTGAAAAATGCGCTGGCCAGGTAGCTTAGTTGGTTAGAGATACACAAAGGTTGTACATTTGCTCCCAATGAATGCATTAAAAATTTTTGGAACAACAAAATGATATTCCTCTCTCTAAAATAAATCAATTAAAATGTATAAAACACAGTGAAAAAGCAAATGAAATGCAATATTTCTGGAAATACCAGTTTGAAAATCACAGCGTGGAGGAGCCATGAGAGTAGGTAAGATGACTGAGAGAGTAAGAGTGGAGGAAGAGGAAGAATGCCTATATTTAGGGGCAGAGGAAGGAGAGACAGTAAAGGAGCAGGAAGGCCGGAGGAGGCCAGACACACTGTAGGCAAAGGAAAGTGTGGTAGGAAGCATCAGGATCACTGGGAAGCAGATGCAGTGAGGCGAGTTTGGACTTCCCCCTGGGAAGGACCTCAGGGAAGACAGTGAAGGAAATCCAGTGACAAAGGGGTTACCTCACCGAATCCTCACGCACGAGGCAGGAACTATTCACGTTTATACTCAATTTCTCTAAAAGGGAAGGATCCCTCACTGACCCTCTGGTCTACTCACCGGACTGTCCAGGAGGAGGGATTCCACCAAGGCCTCGAGGGAGCCTCACGAACGCAGAGAGGACAGCAGCTTTGTAGTAAAAACATGGCTCCAGGGCAATGGGTTTGGGGACAGCCTGGTGAAGAAAAAGAATTAGCTAGAGAGGTGTTTCTCATGCTTTAGCTCTGAGTCTTCAAATGTGATTTTGTAAAGATGCCCTCTGTATTAGTTCTTATTGGCGTGTGACACATTATTAACTTAGCTGCTTAAAATAACACATCTATTATCTCCATTTTATAGGTCAGAAGTCCAGACAAGCTCTGTAGGGTTTTCTGCTAGGGATAGAGGACTATTCATGTCTTCCTTCAGTTCTAGAAAATTCTTAGCTTTTATCTGACAAGAGTCTCAGCTCTTATCTTCAAAGGAGGAAGTCAAGTATCAGCTGGTCTCTACTCTTATCTCAGGCTCTGGGGCAGAATCCGCTTCAGAACTCATTCAGGTTGCTGGCAGAGCCCAGCTCCTTGGGCTGTAACCTGAGGTCCTCACTTCCTTGGTAGCCGTCAGCCAGGGCCATGCTCTTCTCGTAGAGTCTGCTTGCATTTCTGCTCATGTGGCCTCTCCAGCTTCAAACCAGTGATGATCCGTCAAGTCCTTACCATGTTCTCTCTGTGCCACCAGCCAGAGAAAACTTTTCTCATAGCTTAAGGTCGATTACCTTGGGACTTTTATTATTTCTGCAAAATTCCTTCATATCAGTCCCTAGAGTTTAACTAAGCATGAGGCAGGAATACTGGGGCCACCTGTAGAATCCTGCCCATCATACTCCCAAACATGTTCAGCAATCTCTTCAGTTTGGCTGAAGAAAATAATTTCCAGAACCACCCTGGCTGTGGCACGAGGAAACGACTGGATGGTGAAACCAGTTATAAGCAATTACAATAATCCAAGTGTGAGATGACAGTGGCCTATACCAAGATGGGACCCCTTGGGGGATGACCAATGAGATCCCTCAGGGGATGTCCGATTGCTGACTAGGCCAGCAGTTGGACATCCCCTCTCACAATCCTGAACTGCTGGCTCCTAATTGCTCACTTGCCTGCCAGCCTGGCTACCCCTAACTGTGCCCCCTACTGGCCTAGTTGCCCCACACAGCCTGCTTGTTCAGTTGTTTGGTCATTCCTCACTAACCCCCTGCCAACCTGGTCATTGGCAGCCATCTTGTGAGGGTGTGATGGTCAATTTGCATATTGCCTCTTCATTATATAGGATCAATACTGTTTTCACAGTGGCTGCATCATTTTTACATTCCTAACAGTACATAAGGGTTCCAATTTTCTCCACATTGTGGTGACCTATTTTTGCTCTGGGTGATTTTAAGATGTTCTCTTTTAAAAAAATGTTCTCTTTGTCTTTAGAGTTCTATAGTTCCAGTATGATAAGTACAATTGTACATTTTTTCTCTTTTGCTTTCCCTTTGCTTTCTTTCCTTAATCCTGCTTGTGATATGTTTTGCTTCTGAAATCTGTATATTCATGACTTCTATCATTCTGGAAAATTCTGTTATTATCTCTTTGACTTTTGCTTCCCTCCATTCGTTTTGGGACCCTGATAATATATATGTTAGATCTTTTCATTCTATCCTCCATATTCTTATTATCTGTCATATTTTCCATTTCCTTATCTCCTATCTACATTCTATGTAATTTCTTCAGATTCATCTTCCAGTTCAAAAGCTCTGTCCTCATTTGTGTCTGACATGTAAACTGTTCTGTTTGACATGTAAAGTGAGTTATTTAAAAAATTTCTACTACTATACTTCCCATTTCTAACAGTTACATTTGGTGGTTTTTCAGATCTGCTTGGCCATTCTTGACTCTCATGGCTTCCTCATTGTTATGATTCCATCTTTCATTTCTTTAAACATTTCATTCATAGCTATATTATATCCTTTAGATATCAATTCAAACATTTAATAGTCCTGTCTAAATCCAGCTGCTGTCTCTTATTCATGAAATGTGTTTCTCTTGTCCGTGGAAATCACTTTAGGTTCTGATTTTGGTTTATGACTTGTTCTTCTTGGGAAAGGAAAAGGAGAATGGTCCCTGAAAATATTACCTACTTCCTGTGAACTTAGTCATGCTTTAATAGTATGTTTTATGCAGAACATATGACTGTTTTACTAATGTATCTGAAATATCCCATCATTTTATTAAAAGATATTTCTTTTACTTTCCTCATCAGTTTTTGAGGGAGGAGTCAGAAATATTTACACAGAATTCATAGTGAATTATGATTCTGTCCCTTTAAAAGCAAAGCCCTCCAAATACTTATAAAGAATAATGGTTCAATTTAGCTTCTTTTAAGTTTTAAAATATTATGCCATAGAATATCAGACAAATCATTTATATTTTAAAATCCTTTAAACATGAGATTGCTTAGTGACATGAATCAAAGGCTGGACAACAAAAGCAAGAGAATAAACTTTGGTGTGCTGGCTTATTGTAAAAAGGAAAGAGAGAGGAAAACAAGAGGCAACACATTCAAGTTCTTTCTCTCTCAGGTTTCCCCGACTCAGAAGTATGAGTTTGACAAATTAAGTTATAGGGACTTTGTAATCACATTCTCACCTTTATAGTCCCCCCAATAAGATCAGGAGGCTCTTCATCTGTTTCCAAGGCAACATTTACAGAGGCAAAGGGACGACTGGCCATCTGCTGCATCTCTCGCAGAAGTTGCTGATGAGTAAAACAGCAAGCATTACTGCAATGTGTACTGAGGGAATTTTATTAGAGAATACTACATATTAAAAATATCTCATCCTCCCTGATTCAAACACATCAAACCCCAAATATTTTTTAAAAAGTCAGGGAAAGTTAGACAAAGACCATGTACATTAGGAATTAGTTAACATTAGGAATTACTAAATCCTGTTGGATGTGGTTAACAGTACTGTCATTATAAAAAAAAAATCCTTATCAGATATATGTATGTATGCACTTTAGTATAGATATAATGTCACAATATGTCTGTTAAATACATAAAATAAGTTATATAGCCCTATCCCACACTTATTTATTTATTTATTTATTTATTCTGTTAATCCTCACCTGAGGACGTTTTCCATTGATTTTTAGAAAGAGTGGAAGGGAGTGGGAGAGACAGAGAGAGAAAAATCAATGTGAGAGAGAACATGGATTGGTTGCCTCCCCCATGCACCAACCAGGATGGGGATCAAACCTGCAACTCAGGTATCTGCCCTTGACCAGGAAATAACCTACAACCCTGGTGTATCAGGCCAATACTCTACCTGACTGAGCTACCTGGCCAAGGATGATTTAGGACTCTTAAAACCTCCCATCATATCCTTTGCTCTGAAATAGTTTATATGTCTTGAAAATAATTCTCATAAGTATATAAAGAAGAATAGAATATTATTATCTCTATGAACTCATCTTAAAATAGAAACTCCCTGAGTCTAATGACTTTTGTGGAGAGAGTAATATATTGACAAGTTTTCAATTCCTTCTTCCCTGGTTATTAGTTTATTGTGGCTCTAACTTTTTTCTTATTACATTTGAATGACTTGCATTTTTTCAGAACATTGTACAATTCATTGGGATTTTAAAATATCCTAGTAACAGAGCTATTAAAGAATTCTCTGAATATGTTACCCACTGATTTTTAAAATAACAAAGGGGATGCAACATTTACTTCTATGATAACATCACCTTTACATGGGTCAGAAAAGGTGTCATGCTCCCAGCAAAAAGCCCATATTCTGGAGCCTATCTCAACCCCATCACAGACACTAATGCTCTATGATCAGTGCTGAGTGCTTATGAATTTTGGTTTTAGATATTCCCATTCTCTTCCAAATCTTGACCATAGATCAGTTTTTATATTGAAAAAGGCACTAGTAGACACAGAAAACAAAGCACATGTAAGGCGAGGTCTCAGTGCATTTTCATTAGCAATAATGCAATAGACCTGATGACCAGAAGGCAGAGAATTAACAGTGAAATTTGCAATAAACAAAGTTCTTATGTTATAATTTTTAAACAAGTGTATTTATTTGATTTGTTTAATGTAAATATTTGACTTCTTACTTTTGTAACGGAGCTCTGGAAATAAATCAAGATTCATAAAAAAATAAAATTCAAGCCAAAATCTAATTAGATACACATTTATCCTTCCTTGAAATATGAGAAATTCTTAGATCTCCAGGACCAGGGTGCTGGTAGGATGGGTAAAACTGGCATCTGTTTAAGTCAATATAGTTTCCTTTTAGAAAGCTGAGACCATATGGGGCAGAATTAATGACACTGATGTAGCAGTAACTGAAGTCTAACTGACCTCCCACTGGACCTTTAATGGAATGGCTCATCAGGGGCTTATCCCATATAAGAAAAGTAATTCTAACAAAATTATGATAGATAATAAGACTATCCGTGAATATGTCCATCAATGATCACTGAATAGCTAATGCTGACACTTGCTTAAGAGAAATATGTAGAAAGGAAAAGCTCTTACAAGGATTCATTAATCTTTATCCACTGAGGCTTACCTCTCTGCGCCTGGAAGCCCAACAACTTTGTTTGATCTTCCAAACCACAGCAGCCACCAGGAGCAAAGAGAGGAAACAACTGTGAGAAAGGAAAGCATCAAATTATTATCCCAGCCCCCAGAATCAGCACCGTTGTCTCCATATTCCAGGCCAGACAAGTAAGCAATTCCTCAGATACCACCCCAAGCTCCTCTCTGGTGAGTAATCACACCATGTTCCAGTTCACAGGAAAGCAAAGTGTGAGGGGCCCTGATAAACTGAGCTTCAGACCTTACTGTACAGTCCCACCAGGTGCTTGGAGGGATCCCCACCTCCCACTGCACCTTTAATGGAATGGCTCATCAGAGGCTTATCCCAAATAAGGAAAATAATCCTAACAAAATTATGACAGATAATAAGATGCTACTTAATAAAAATTAACAAATGTTCACTGTAAGATATAAAAATAGGAAAAAATAATTTTTAAAATAACTTTTTATAAGAAAGAAGTAAATATAGAAGAAACAAACTTATGTATAATAATACATATTCAATTACATTTTTACAAAGTAAATGCATACATTTTTGTAAAGTAGAAGGGTCATTCTCAAGCTAACAACTTTCTCTAGGAGAGACTAACTCCCAGTGGCCAGTGCTCTCCCAATTGTAAACCAGGAACTCAATAGTTTGAAAAGCTACTGTGATAGCAGAGAACTGACTTCTGATAAAAGGATTAATAAGTTGAAGAACAAATATACCTCTGAAGTAATTGTTAAAGTAATTTAAAAACTCGTGTTCTTCCAACTGGTATGTCTCGGTGGTTCAACATGGACCCAGGATTCAAGAGGTCACCGATTAGATTTCTAGGCAGGGCATATGCCCAGGTTGCAAGCTTGATTCCCAATAAGTAGCCTGCACGAGGCAGCTGATCGATGATGTTTCTATCTCTCTATCCCTCCCCCTTCCCCTCTCTCTAAAAATAAAAAGTAAAATCAATAAAAACGTATTTAAAAAAACAACACTGGTGTTTTCACTCACTAACTTGTAAAAGGGCTTGCCACTGAGTTTTGTTCCAGAGTGTTATACACACACTTGATGCTCTTGGCCTGTGCCACCAGATACCCGCTTGTTGAGCTTCGTGTTTTCAGAATGTCGTGAAAAGCAGCCTCAGTGCCCCCAAGTACTGACCCCAAAGCAGACCTCCCAGGCTGGCTGGAGAAGGGACTCTAATATGTTAGGATGATTGAACTTTGGTCTTTTCACAAAAAGAAACTTCAACGCTTGACATCTCACCGCTTCCCCAAAATGCACATGCATGGAGACCCCTCCGGGGTAATCTAACAGAAGGTAAAGGGCCCCAGGTCATCACTCAGGGAAGAGCCTTCAATTCCTTGTCTGCTGCTCCTCTCGGCTGTCCTGACACTGCTGGTCCTTCTCCTCCCTGACAGTCTCTGTTTTCCTTTTGGTATCAATACTTTCCTGGGCCAGGTCCTGCCCTAGGTTCATGGAATACATTGACAAATAGAACAAAAGCCACTGTTCCCTTGGAGTTTACATTCCAGGATGTGGATACAAACAGTAAATAACACAGAAAACAAAAACAACATAAAAGAGCATGTCAGAAGGTAGGAAATGCTACAGAAAGAAAAGATGATCGGGTAAGGGGGCTCAGAGTGCCAGTGGCATTCTAAGGCAGAATGGTCACATAAGCCTTACTTCTTGAGAAAGCGATATGTGAGCAAAGACCTGGAGGAGTTGTGAGAGATGGAGTCATTAGCATGCATATGGTATTTGAAGTAATCAATCTGGATGAGGTCATCACGAGATTGAATACAAATATTATCATATAAGAATGTCCTGCCAAAACCAGTTTGGCTCAGTGGATAGAGCGTTGGCCAGTGGACTGAAAGGTCCCAGGTTTGATTCCGGTCAAGGGCATGTACCTTGGTTGCGGGCACATCCCCAGTAGGGGGTGTGCAAGAGACAGCTGACTGTGTTCACCATCCAAAGACAAGTTGTTTCCGTCATCATTTATCCCCTCTTCTATCTGCCCCAACCCCCTTTCCCTCTTTAATCAGCATACTGTTGTCTATGAGTCTTTTTCTTTTTCAGATCTTTTCTGAGAGAATAGGATATAGTTCAGCACCACAACAACATTCAACAAGGGGACAAAGGGGTACATAAAACAGTCAAACTCCCGCCACCAAAAAAACCCTCAGCACAAATAGTAAGACTTATAAAACTGTTCCTATATAATGTAGAAGAACCACAATCTAGAATTTAAATCCCAAATAACCACTACCGAGGATGGCTGTGGGAATAATTATGGGACTCTCTCAGAGGCTTAAGGCAGATTGCTCTTATAGGAACTGGAATCATGAAGTTGCCAGGAGCTGAGGCCAAAGTCACACCCCCTCAGTGGATACACATCCTTTCCCATCTGACTTCCTATGCCTTTGTTTGTATGTGGATGAGTACTACTGCCAGTCCCTGGATTCACATGACTTTCAGCTAATTCAGGATTTCTCAGTGCCTCTGGAACATATAAGAATCACTAGAGAGCCTTTAAATATCACAACGATCAGGTCCCATGCCAGATCAATTAAATCAGCATCTCTGGGTGAAGGGCCCAGGCTGCTGCTGCCTTTTTTTTTTTTTTTTTAAAGCTTCCTAGATGGTTCTAAGGTATAGCCAGGGCTGGGATTCATGAGAGAAGAGTCTCAGAATTCAATTTAAAACTTATAGGCGAGGCCTCTAATTGGCCCTGTTCATCTCTGCATGTCAAATTATAGGCTTGCCTGTTTATGGTCTGCCCTTAAGCTCTAGACCACATGTGTCAAACACAAGGCCCGCGGGCCAAATCCGTCCCGCCAGGCTTTGCAATGTGGCCCGCACCGCGCTGTCATCACTGCACTCCGCTGCGTTTCCATCACAATGACAGTTTATGACTGTTCAGTAAAACATTCGGCCTGAGATTTAGGCTGGATTTTAGATTTTGGCCCCTTCTCTGATTGAGTTCGACACCCCTACTCTAGACTGTTAAATACCTGCATGAAAGGGTGATTAAGAGCTATAATGAAAACCGGAGCAGCTATAATGAAAACAGTCTAAGAAGAGGTGGCCTGTGTGGTGAATGTGCCAGGTGAAGACATCGCAGAGTAGACAAATAGGTTGTGTTCTGAAGATTATGACAGGCAAATGCAGAAAACTAGATTAAGTAAACACCCTTCCAGGCTCTGCTTCTCACATGGCCAAAAAGGGAAGGAACAACAACCTTAGAGGACTCATAATTTGGTAGAAGTAACAAGACAAAAATTAATGAAATACTGAATTTGCAAGAATATATCGTAGAATGATCCTTTGGCCTGCTGTGGAGGAACTGTGGAAGATGGCTGATGTCAGTGAGTCCTGGCTATCTGGCACTAAGCAGAATACAAAAAATGTTGGCAGGTGTGGGAAGAAATGCTGGAATCCTCTGTGGTAGCATAAGAGAGGGAAGTTTCCTTCTGTGGGAGGGAGAGACTTCCCTGTAAATGGGAAGAAGTTTCATTAATTTCCAGCATTCCATATTGCTGGCTTTGCATTATTTGGGACAGAGGTCAAGGGTCCCCACTCAACTCCAAAGAGCTAAGCTGGGCATACACTGAAAAAGGAAATAAAATAGAGAGTGAATTCCCAGCCTAGTGAGCGGTGTGGCCTTGGAGTTGAAGTAATGAACATACTCCCTTGATTCATTGACAAATTTCTGAAGCCTATCCATTTGGAAAAAAAGTAAAGCTATAGCCAAATAGATTCCAGATGGAAAAAGGATGACCTAAACATGAAAAAAACAAGAAGAGATAAAAATACTCATGAAGAAAATATAGGAAAAGACAGATCTGCTTGCCAAAAAATACCAGAAAAGACAAACAACTGAAGACACACACGTTAATAATCACAAAATATAATGAAATCCTAAAGTTCAGTAAGAAAAAGGCAAACAGACCAATAGAAATGTGAGCAAAGGATATGAACAGATAATTCAAAGTAAGAACTATAAGAGATCAGTAAGTATCACTCATAATTAAAGAAATCCAAATTAAAACAAGATACCAATAATACCTCCCAGATTAAAAAAATTAAAAATTTGACAATTTCCAGGGTTGCTAAGAAATAGTCGTAGTAATAAGAGAGAGGCAGAAATATTAGTAGTGAGAGATATCATTTACATTCCTGCTGTAGGAATGTAAATTCATGCAGCTGTTCTGAGGGGCCATCTGACAATGTTTTTGTGTTTGGGTATAGCAAGTATAGAACAAAAAACTATTTCAGAGAGAATATTCACAGAAAAATGCAGACATATGCAACAAAAATTGAGGATAATCTAAGTTAATCAAAAGAGGAATATTTAAATAAAATATGGTACTCAAAATATGGGAAAAGCTGTTTTGGAAAAAATGAGGTGAATTTCCACCTGGGAAATGTTAACCACAGAACTGCAAGTAAAATAGCAACTTATAGAACAACTAGAGGCCCAGTATACAAAATTCATGCACAGGGACGGTTCCTAGGCCTGGCTGGTGATCAAGGCCAATTGGGGCCTTCCTTCTGGCTGCCAGCCAGGGCCTCCCTTTCCCAGCTGTCAGCTCCTGCCCAGGGCCTTCCTTTGTTCCACGCCACCCCATATTGGTCAGCGCATTTCATTTTATGAATTTAGCACACCTGAGAAGAATATAATGAGAAATGAATTTACAAGCCAGTCTCATGAAGGAGGAAGCAAAAATTTACAATAATATGAAAAGACTACTGGCCCTAGCTGATTTGGCTCAATGGATGGAATGTCAGCCTGTGGACTGAAGGGTCCTGGGTTTGATTCCAATCAAAAGCACGTGCCTTGCCAAAACTGGTTTGGCTCAATAGATAGAGCGTCAGTCTGCAGACTGAAAGGTCCCAGGTTCGATTCCAGTCAAGGGCATGTACATTGGTTACGGGCACATCCCCAGTAGGGGGTGTGCAAGAGACAGCTGA